TCCTGCAATTTTTATTGGCTCCGAGCCTAATTTTTGTAGATCCTTAGCCCGGGATTTTCTTGACATAAGGGAATCCCGAACTTTGTCATATACTGTATCAAATTTTGGTGACATAATCGAATAGAATCAAATTCGCCCATATGTTGAATCGCGTCGTAATTCAGGTTTATACAGCGTTCAGAAATGGTACAAATAATTTTTTTTTTAAAATTAATCTATTAATGATTAGTATTAATTAGAATTTACGAACAGAAAGTAAAAGTACTCAGTCGTAATGCTTCAGATTATGTTCGTGAAACTTCTCAAGACATTCATAAAATCAAAAGAAACCTAGATCCTAAACTGCATCCTTTTGAAAAAGCACGTGAATATACAAGAGCACTTAATGCTGTCAAATTGGAACGCCTGTTTGCTAAACCTTTTGTGGGTGCTTTGAGTGGTCATGTAGACGGTGTCTATTGCATGGCTAAACATCCTCTGAATTTAACCACAATCATATCCGGTAGTGGTGACGGAGGTATCGTATAATTTTAGTTTAGGAAAGTCGTAATTTAATTAACTTGATTAATAGATCTTTAACAATTTTTTTTAGAATTGAGAATATGGAATCTATCCGAACAAACAACTACTTGGAAAATATCCGGACACAAGGGCATTGTCAAAGGTGTTTGTTGCAGTCCAACAAAAAGTAATTTTTATTATTCTTGCGGGACAGATAAAACTGTAAAAATTTGGAATCCTAATGAGCTTAACGATGAGGTACTGTTATCCTGTGTTGAAAGATTATTTGATATATAAAACCATAATTTACATGACTTTAAATTTTAGCCAATAAACACGTTTATTGGGAAGTCTGCTTTCAGGTAACTAACTAATTTCATGGTTGATTTTTCTATTTTTTTTTTTCCTCTTTACTATACATTTCATATACTTTGTTTAATTATAGTGCGATTGATCATCATCGTTCTGATTTAATATTTGCTACCTCTGGTTCGCAGGTTGATATTTGGGATGAAAATAGGTAAATAATAAATGTCTTTATAAGTCAAATCAGAAATTCAAAGCGATATTTATTATTTACTAATCTCAATACTATATAGATCGAATCCTATTAAATCGTTTACTTGGGGAGCAGATACAATACACGCTGTTAAATTTAATCAAATTGAATCAAGTATTCTTGGGAGTTGTGGTACGGACCGATCAATTGCTCTTTATGATCTTCGAATGAATTCCCCTTTGGCAAAATTAATTTTACAGGTTTGTAGAACTTTTACTCTTCAGAAATTTTAATGATTTTATTAGCTGAACATATATTTATAATTGCTAGATGAAGACAAATGCTATTTCATGGAATCCGATGGAAGCATTTAACTTTACGGCGGTATATATTACATAACTTAATGTTAATGAAAAAATAAAATAAAATTTTTATTCACATATAAATAAATTTACAGGCAAATGAAGATCATAATTGCTATACATTCGATATGCGTAAAATGGATTGTTCTTTGAATGTACTTAAGGGACATGTCTCAGCAGTGTGAGTGCGATAATAATATAATTTTTATTGTTAATTACTGTTAATGACTTTTGGCACCCTTTACAACAGATTGGACTTGGATTATTCACCAACAGGTGAAGAAATAGTTACAGGCGCATATGATAGAACTCTTCGTATTTTTCATTCACGAAAAGGACATAGTCGTGATATTTACCATACTAAACGGATGCAAAGAATTTTCTGTGTGAAATATAGTATGGATTCAAAATATTTGCTTTCAGGTTCGGATGACGGAAACGTTCGACTTTGGAAAGCAAATGCATCAGAGAAAATTGGCCCGGTATATATAAAATAATTTGTATCAATGATCATAAGTAGACATATAATTAAACATTTATTGCCTATAACTTTACAGAAAGACTATAGAGAACGAGCGCATTTAGAATATGCGGAAAAACTTAAAGATCGATATAAAAATTTACCAGAAATTAAAAGAATATCCAGGTATTTTTGAAGCTTTATGATAAACGCGCTTTAATACTTTATAACTAATTATTTTTTCAATTAAAGGCACCGACCTATACCCAAGGCAATTAAAAATGCACAGAGTACAAAACTTATTATGTTACAATCTCAACGTCGGAAAGAAGAGAATTTGCGCAGGCATTCTAAAAAGGATTCTGTACCATATAAAGCCGAGAGGAAGAAAAGTATTATCAATGTTGAAAAATAGTGTTTATCTTCGAATGATTGTTAGTAGAATTTTTAATTGTTCCGATAAGTGAAATTAGTATTGTGGCATTTCTGCAAATAATTATTTGACAGATTAAATAAAAATTGATTTAATTTAATTTGAAAACTATGCATCATGGCAAAATTTTTGCACTAAATTTCATATCTGATTCTGCGATGATTATTGATAACAATTTAGTTATTATTTTGTAATATTTGAATCTGATTAAAGAAATAAGTCAATCTAAATTTTAAACATCAGTTAGGTAATGTACGAAACACAGCTACTTATAATAGCCTAAAATTTGCTTATAAAGCTATTTTTTGAGGTTCTAACAAAAAAGATTTCTTGCAAACATTTGGTAAATGCTTTACCCAACTTTTCCTAGCTATAATCCAATTTAGTTTTGCTTTTAAAATTGTGTCACATGGATATACAAATTATATCTCGAAATAATAAAAAATATTTAGCATCCTCAAATTACTTCTCGAATAATTAGCCTTACTCTAACTTAAGAGTATAATTCTAATCCTAAGTTTTAATAGCAAATACGATTTTGAGTATCTTGGTGTGCTTTAGCACTATTCGCAATATCAATAATTCTAATATTTTTATAAAATTCGTCAATTCAAATAACGCTCAGGGGTTACTTAGAATAATGGCCCGAATTAAACTTAATTTAAGCCAAAATTCGAAGTTACACCCTTGGGCGTTTTGCGCTTATACGGTAGTTAAAGGTCGTTCAAAAATGTATCAGGTATAGTGTTGAGCAAAAACAAAAATTTTACTGGAGCAAATTCCTTAGTCTAGGCCATTTTTTGTTATACGTTGGACATTTGGTAACCTATCTGCTATGATGTTGATCCTATATAAAAATGCGTAATAGTAACCAAGTTAGATTGACAAAATTATCACTTGTATCCAATGTCATGCGAGGAGTAGGATTGTGACTACAGTTTTGGCTAAGCCATTTTTAATAAAACTTATCAGAATTTTTTTTTTTTCTTAACGCTTTAAGCTTTTATTAAACGACTGAATCAAACATAAAAAATGGCTCAACGTAGACGACAATTGAATGTTGATTTAAATTATTATGAACTTCCGACCACAATAACGCGGATAGATACGATTCGCGAAAAGTTGATCCGAGAGCTTTCTCAACAATATCCCGATCTTTCCAACGTAACTTCAAAGGAACTTTCACTATTTCTTGGCCAATTTCAAAAGTTTCAAGAGGATGCTTTAGGGCGTTTAACTCCACGATTTGATAAGATTCCTCCAAAAATCCCTGCAAAGCTATTTAAATTAGAACCAGCGCCTGGTCTTAACTTACCGATCTATCATACTATTCGTACAGCATATAAATTTCGAGCACAAAAAAAATGGAAACGTTGGGATTGGGAACTTAACCGAAATGAGTTGATAGAAATGGTAAAACAGATCAGAACTCATTTGGAGTCTAAAGGATTTATTAGAAAATTTATGATATTACTTGGAGAATCTGTAGCAGGAGGTACACATAGACAAGAACTAATTGAACATATAAATAATTTAGGAGGTAAATTTTTAACTGATGATACAAAATACAATTTTGCAATTCAAAACTGAATATTTATTTTAATTATCTTTCCTTCGATACTAGGGCAAGTAACTCATGACCTTACAAGGGCGACACATATTATACATGCCACGAATGAGCATAATTATGATGCAGACGAAGAGTGGTATAGAACTTTAGAAAAAAAGGATGGTAAAGTTTTGTTGCATTGGTGGTACTACCCAGATTCGTATGACTCATGGCTGGACGAAGGAGAGCATGCAGATCCTGAACCAAATCCCATTCATCATGGTCCCTGGAATGTATCAGAGCGATGGCTCAGAGATAGTGCCGAATTCAATGAATGGATGAACGAAGAAGACTACGAAATAACCGATTCAAAATTGAATGCTGAAGAACATTCTGGCATTTCAGAGTCAGAAGCTTCGCCAACGAATAAACGAAACTTGGATTCTTTAGAATCACCTTCGAAGATGGAGGTTGATGTTCGTCCCACAATAGGTGCTAAACGTCCGAGATTAAGATCACCAGATCATGATACTGTACCGGAACATCCAAATATGTCACTCGTAGATATTGAACAGGAGGCATCACGTGCTGGAGGAATTCGTGCAAAGAAAAACGAATTTGACCCTGTGATTGGTGGAGAAATTGCAAATATTTCTCAATTAGTTCCAGCCGAAAGATCTACTAATGAAGATGCACAACAAAATCTTGAAGATCCTGAAGCTGTAGACGAGAATGTAGATACGGTTAATATAACGTCAAACATGGAAGGAGTTCGAATTCCTGCTAACAATAATAGTAAGATTTAAATAATAACGTTATTGTTATGATTTTTGTAAAAATACTTATGCATTTTTGTCTAGACATTGATGTTGAAATGACCGAGCAAGACCAAAATAATATATCCAGTGGACGTGCCGAGCATAAAGTTTCAACTAATCCTGCAGCAAAAGAGTTAGATGAAGATGAACACATGGCAACCGCAGATGATAATAGACAAATAGATGATGATACAAATGAACCCTTGTCTGATACCGTTATCCCCCAAGAGGTTCTTTCCGCAAATGATGAAGATGAAAAGAAACGACTTGAAGAAGAAGCCCGAAAGTATTTATCAGAACAAACACAAGAAATTGTGATTCCTTCATACTCTGCATGGTTCAATATGTCAACCGTTCATCCTATTGAGAAAAAATCTTTGCCAGAGTTTTTCAATAATAGAAACAAGTCGAAAAATCCCAGTATATATAAAGAATATAGAGATTTTATAATAAATACTTATCGTCTTAATCCAGGTGAATATTTGACAGTCACAGCCTGTCGCAGGAATTTGGCGGGTGATGTGTGTGCAGTTATTCGTTTACATGCTTTCTTAGAACAGTGGGGTTTAATTAATTATCAAGTAAGTAATTTTTTATTTGTTTTCTTTATATGAGGTTCTGTTTAACTAGTATACTCTATTTAAAAATTAATTTAGGTTGATCCGGATACTCGACCATCTCCAGTTGGACCTTCATTCACAGGACATTTTCGTATCACAGCAGATACGCCAAGAGGACTTCAACCTTTTCAACCACTTGGACCTTCGACTGCCTTATCAAATTCTGTTGCGACTACATCTACAGTTAACACAATATCTAGTATGGCTAATGAACCATCAATCACTGCGAATCCAAAAGTTGATAAAGTTTTTGGTATCCGTCAAAATGTTTATCAATCTGGAATGAATATGGTTGCTACTCCTGGCTCACAAGATGAAACTGGGAGTGTTGCTGCTGATTCGGGATCGAATGAACAAAAACAATACCATTGCGTTACGTGTGGCGTTAATTGTACTCGCGTTCGTTATCACAGTGTGAAGACTCAAAATTTTGAATTGTGTACAAATTGTTATTTGGAAGGACGATATCCTACATCAATGTATAGTGGCGACTTCTTGAAAATGGAGGAAACGCCATTCAAGCATGCTCAAGATGACGATTGGACAGAACAAGAAAATTTGGATCTTTTGGAAGGTGTAGAATTATACGAAGATGACTGGAATAAAATTTCTGAACATGTTGGCACTCGTACTCGGGAACAATGCATTTTACACTTTTTGGAATTCCCAATCGAGGATCCTCTTAATGAAACTAAAATGTCAGATCTGGGGCCACTTCAATATCAACGTATACCTTTCAGTCAAGCGGATAATCCTGTTATGTCAGTGGTTGCTTTCTTAGCATCAGTAGTCAACCCAGGCGTCGCGGCAGCTGCTGCAAAGTCTGCGCTGAAAGAACTATCTCTTCATAATAAGAAATCTGCAAACAAAGAAATAAATGGCGTCAATGGCATAAGGTCTGGCGAGCCAAGTGAAACAGCTGCAAGCACACCAATGGCTGATGTTAAAATTGGGGATGAAATGGATACGGAGGGAGCAACTGGGCTAAAACCAGATCCAGAACAGACTCCTGAAGAAGCAGCGACCTCTGATTCAGTCCCTCGCCAGAAGTTATTAGAAAGAGCTGGTGCAACAGCAATGGGCGCAGCTGCTGCAAAAGCTAAAGTACTTGCGGACTATGAAGAACGGGAAATTCAACGCCTTGTCAATGCAGTTATCGAAAATCAATTGAAAAAACTCGAGCTTAAACTTCAACAATTTGAAGAATTGGAAAATGCTCTCGAGAACGAAAAGAAAGAACTAGAGAAGCAGCGTCAATTGTTATATAATGAACGTTTAGCATTTAAAAAAAACACTATAATTATGCAGGACCAATTAAGAAATGTACAAGCTAGCAGTAGTGGTCCGAAACCTCCAACAAGTGGGCATGGTTATCTAAATTCAAGCAATAGTCGGATTATATCAAAGATCGAGTATCAACAGCAACAGCAGATTCGACAGCCAGTTGGACCATTAAGTCAAGAGCAAGGAAGTGATGATCCTGTTCTGATGAACATTTAAAATTAAAAAATAGAACTGAGGGTAGTGTAGGGTTGGTAAAGTCCTTAGGTCCGGGACTGGTCTTTTTAACTAGGTCTTTAAAAAGTCCTAATATACAAATTTATAATTGCATAATTCTGGACAGCCTAATCAATATATATATACAGTATAATTTCAATAAAGTTTTAAATGCATAGTTTAAGATCCTAATCATTTATTTAATGTATATAGTTCACATAATATTGTTATTACACATTCTAACGCTAATAGGTAAAGTACATTGTGAAGGGGTAACGTGAACTAGCCGCAGCAAAAAACGTGATCTAAGCCATAAGACTCGGGACCTTAATCGAAAAAGTGATGGCATTTAATAAATGCCAATTTGGGTTTGGCTTGAGGCGAAGAACAATAGTAAGGCGTGGGAACTAAAGTCATAGTAGTTTCCCCCCGATACTCTAAATAGTCTTATTGCTTAGATTCTAATCGTAGTAGCAATGCCCCAAAGCTCTCTGTAATGTATAAATAATCATCGATTTCATGTATCTGAAGTGTTATAATAATAAAGACCATCTAATGATAAACTCCGGGGATCCTAGTAGCAGTAGGGTCCTTGGCTTTCGGACCAAATCTTCCACGCCTTCTTTTGGCTCTCTGAAGTGAAGCCCAAGAACTATAGAAAAGTATTTTCACCCCAAATCCGCCCTTTTACAACATATAGCGGACCTAGGTTCCAGGTAGGGAACCTGGCATGATTATTATTGGCATGCCAGATGTTTAAAAATACATTATGGCATGCCTTTATTATAAAATTATTAATAAAATTATATTCATGTAATCTGATTGGTTAAAAAAAAAAATCAAAAAAAATTTTTATAGTATGGCGTGCCAGGTTCTCTAGTTCTAGGACTAAGTCTTGGACTGGATCTGGACTTGGTCAGTAAAACCTACAGGTTACGAGACCAGGATTGGGCTTTACCATCCCTAAGTGTGAAGTCTCTGATCTTTAGGATCGGTGTTTATAATGTTTGTACATATGCTTCCTTATCATTACATTTTCTTTTGACGATAGGTAATATATTTTTTTTCTTACGTATTATTTGTCAAGTGATGAATATATGCAGTTGTTTACAATGACGTACGTACGAGAATTATTCAAAATGTTTATTGTTTGTCATTTATGTGTATTGGATTTTCAAACAATAAATATTATACACTTCACGGTTATAAAGAGAAATAAGTTTAAAAAATAAGCTAATATAAGTACGGTGTACTATGTAAATCAAATTTATGTATAGTCCCATAGTAAAATTTACTAGTGATAACAAAGACGACGATTTATATTAAAAAACTCAAATTTTGATCAAATTTATTACAAATTTATAATTTTTTTTAAAAAAACGCTCTTTTCCCTAAAATATAGGGTCTGCTGAGCAACTGAGTAAAATTTTTAACGAAGTTTTAATATGTAAATTATTGAGGAGTTTTTTATAGTCGTTTCATATAAGAATTTTAAACTTCAAATTGTATCTCTGTAAATTACATATTAACTAAATTGAAAATTTTGCTCAATTGCTCAGCAGAATCTATATTTTAAACTAAAAGAG